ATGAATAGTATGGATCAGCTTCGACAGCACCCAATTTAGGTACTGAAATAAAGAATTGTGCCCAAATTGCTATCTTATTTGTGCTCAACAGAAAAGAAATTTATGGAAAGCGAAGATGATGAAATTGATGATACAGAAGAAAATAATCTCATTGAACCTAGAACTAGTATCAATTTTTTAGATCAAACCATAGAAAGTAATGCACCCGAGGCTGTTGGTGGTTCTAGCCAACAACTACTACCTCAAAAAAAAAGGATATTAGTGCCATGGACTGCAGAACAAAAAAAGAAAGTCATTCATTTGTCAACCTCCCAAATACTTTGAATGTTTAGCACTGAAAGAAAACTATCCAGCACTGTTCGACAATAAAGACTATCCAAAAATCAAAGCCTTCGTCCAAAATGAATATATAAAGAAAAGGAGATTAAAGTAAAACCGCAAGCTTTTTGTTTTCAAATGCTTTTATAGATGGATGGATCACTAACGAAAGAAGTGAAACAGTACTAGTTTCAATAGTTAATGTGTGTCTGTGTGTTATGTGTGAAATCACAAGAATAAATATAATAACCAGACTGACAGAAAAAATAGAACAATTGTCTTCCTTCAAGATATAGAAAAATATATTTAAAAATTCTTATGTGTACACCATAATTCTTCTTGGAGTGATATATTTTTGGAGATCCTCTGAATTACACTTGATTCCCACGGAATGCCATATAATTCTTTTATAATTTTTTTTTAAGCATTCATATTAAACTAGTAAGGAACAAAAATATGGTAGTTATCATTAAACAATACAAAAAATTAAAAAATCAATTAGTACAATTACAAAATAGTGTATAAATAGTTTAATTTGCCATCTAGGGTGGTCCCTAATTAATGCGCTAAAAAGCAATCGGAAGCGGTATTTTCCTTGTGTATGTGGTTAAATTATTGTAATATATTGTCTCAAAACTTTTGCCTCAAATTTAGATGTTTTAAATATATATAGAATTTCGCGTTTTTTGGGTCGGATTTTCCGTGCTACGTGAGAACGACTGTAAGTACGCGACCGGTACGACGGAGCGTTCTTTCGGCTTTCCGGCAAGCTGGACCTGTTCCGAAACGCAATTCACTATTAGTTTTTTTTTCCTTTTTCAATCGTCAATGAAGAAATGAACACATTCACATTGATATTAGCATTGACTTGCATAAATTATAGTAAAAGATATTTTACCGCTATTTTAAAACGGCATAAAAACTAACTTCAACTGATTAATATGCCAAACTGATAATAAAAATATTTGTTAGTAAATTGTATCACCTGGTATATACCCAAATAAAATTAATAATAAAAGTTAGTGACACAGCATTGTTGGCGAATTTTTGTGAAGATGAGTGATAAAATAGAGTCATTATAACTAATCACTTAACTGTAACTAAAGTTCTCTACATCTCATCTGAGAAACTGGAATATAATCTTATTCACCTTCTCGAAAAACCTCCGAATCCAAGTTTTCCTGTCGATATTTTAAAAATTGCTGTCGATAACTAAACTTTAAACTTTAACACTCAGTGAGCGAAATTTTCCTAGAGCACGTTTGGCTCAAAATCATTATTTTGACGAGTTTAATTTAGGATTGCATTTTGGTGCATCATTACGGGCCACCTTAGATAACTGAAACGTGTCGAATTACTGAATCGTTCATTTCAAAAACCAAAAATTAATAAATATACTAAATACTCATTTGCACCAACAAAACATTCCATTTTTAGTTGACTAATTTTTAGTGTTTCTTAAAAATTATGCTTTTCGATTGTTGTGTTGTTTGAACTATAAAAAGTAATATTTATAAATTTAAATAGACTCCAAATAATGGATGTCCGAATTCCAGAATGAAAATTTTAATTACAATTTAAAAACGTTAAACCCGATTTACCGGTTTTCACGTTATATTTCTTAAGAACTTTTAATACGTGGTCAGATGTTTTGGATGTATAGAACGACAACAGCAAGTGTAGGGTTGCTTTCGGACTCTCACATTCAAAAAATTATTGATCACATTGTTGCATCAGGGTTTTCGGTGGTCTGTGATGTTCATATTCTATGGTCTTGAGAGGTTAGAATGTGGGACTCTCTGCCCGGTATCTCGCGCGCTTATGTCCGAACCTCATGACGCAGATTAATAAAGGACTTTTAGTGGAGTTCTCTTTTATTACAAAAGCCTCCAACACGACACACATATCAAAAGTTTTCAAGAAATATAAGATACAGATTTACCACATGTCCAAGAATCTCTTCTATCTACACCCTGTGGTTCTAAAATATTAATACATTCTAAAAAAATTCATTCATTCATTTTTTATCTATTATTATTATTATTAGAAAATTCAACTGTTTCCTTTTGACAGATAAAAATATCCTACGGACTCGAAAAACTCTGATCCACAATGTCATGTGGAGGTATTTTTTAACTGGAGCTCATATAAATATGTTACAAGTTGAACGTCCAGAATATCTAAAAAATTTAAGCACTTTTTGTAAGAACAAATGCGGCAACGCTGGTGACGCTTTAAAAGCGAATAAGTATATGGAAAAACGTATACCAGTGACGCCTTAATGTTTATCAAGCGTACTGGCGCTATATGGCGGGCTTTGGGATGGATATACGATAGTTTTAATACCTTTCACGTGGAAAAAAGTATGAACACTTATTAATATTTATATCATTAATGTTGTAATGCTAGAACTTTTCATTACTTAAGAGGTATGTTTTAAATAATCCATTTTTCATTTTACAGTGCAAATATCGCGCAGAAATTGTAATTTCCCACGTCTGATGTTAGACAAAAATTGTAATTTATTTAAAATGGGGGGAAAAGGTCGGTCATTGCAGTCTTTAAATATTTTTAAAAGTGCTGTAACGAAAAAACATATTGCAATTAAAAGCAAAATTTACAGTTTGGCATGGAAGTAACTAGTAGAACTGCAGCAAATCATTTCATCAATGGAAGTCTTCATGTAATACGGTTGATTGATAGACAATATGTAAGACCACGCAAGGTACCAAATTCTTAATGTGAGATATGGAGGAGCGAATATAATAGTCTAGGGATATTTTTCTTGACCCCATTTGGATACAAAAAGGTATTGGAAAATACAATTCTTCCGTTTACACAAGAAGAGATGACTTTGCGGTAGCCACTTTTTAGTACTTGTTGCCGTTAAATGCTAAAAATCAACAAGAAGGCTTTAGTGTCATTGCTCCTGAAATTCTACACAAATTGCTGATAGATGCTCGATGTTATGCCCCAAAATACAAAAACTAATAAATTATATTTTTGAAAAATGTTTCTCCATATAATAACAAAGTTTTCTATACTTATTTCCAGCTTTTATTTTAAATTTATCAAATTCTTGAAAATACGACCAAATACCTTTTCAAAAGACACTGTTATGTAAATTGCGCCATAATTTGTAGAAACAGATACGCCGATGATCTAAAATGTTTCGATACTTTTTTCCACCACAAGGACTAAAGTTTGTCGCCTTATGTGAAGAAAGCAAATTGTCTTAAGCGAACATGCTACAGTACCAAATTTCTAATTTTAAAAATTTACTTATATTTTATAAATTACCTTATAATTAAATTGAGCATTGAAAGACAATTTCCAAGATATACCGGGTGGCGCCGCAATACATCTGTTATGTTGCCGCTTCTATACAGAGTGTTTTCCAATTGAATGTCAATAATTTAGGGGCGATTTTTGGGTCCGTTTTAAAAAGAAAACCTCATATGAACGTGTGTCCTATACGTCTTAACTTTTGAGATACAGGGTGGTAAAGGTTTCACAAATAAAACATATTTTCTTAATGTCTGTATTACCACTTTAGATATTTTAATGAAATTTGGCACACATGTACTACGTATTAAGAGGAATTATTAAGTGTCCACAATTCTTTTAAAATGCACCAGTGGCGAGCGTACGGAATTTCACATGTCTATTTTGACAGATATTGATGATACGCCACTGATTTCTCTTAAAGTAAAAATTATTCTTACAATCCGCAATCATTTTTTCAAGGAAATCAGTAGCGTGCTCTGCATGCTGTCATATTAACGATATTGTTATGATCATGCAGAGAAGAGCTTTTTTATTTTTTTAAGCGAAAACTGTACATCGAATTGAAAAAAATCAAGTAATTAAAGTTCTTTAGAAATTATTGGAGATTGTAAGAATAATTTTCATTTTAAGAGAAATCAGTGGCGTAGCATCAATGTCTGTCAAAATAGACATGTGAAAAAACAAACATTAAAATATCTAAGGTGGTATTACAAAAAAAAACACAATTTCTTGAATTTTTAAGAAACTTGGACCCTTGCCTTAATTGAACAAAAAGCCAAACTTGGGTTTTAAAAAGTAGATATTATACGAGATTTATAGAAACACAATCTATTGAGTTTTATTAAATAGCAAACCCTGTGTATTCTTTCATTTCCGATTTCTACGAAACAAAGTAACCAACCGTTTTTGAAATAAAAATTAATTTTTTAACTAATTACATGAAAATGTGGTTTCACGAAGTTCATTCTATGTGCCAAATTTTCTTCGAAATTACGGTGCTCAATATTAGGGGCAAATCATGAAAAATTTCACAAAGGCGCTAAGAGATGGGTATTTAGGTAAATTTCCGTACAAAATTTTATTTTTGAAACACCCTGTATATTCCATCAAAAATGGTATACCAGGAAAGAAGGGTCCAAATCGCTTAAAAATCTGACCGAGAACGGTACAGATGTTTCCAGGTTTATATAGAAGCGAAAAATATTTTAGAGCGGTTACATCACCCTGTCTAATTTAAAGTAAATCCGTTTGATACGTTCTCCAAATGCTTCTATTTCTGCGCCACCCGGTATATCGTTGAAATTGTCTTTTAATTCGCAATTTAATTATAAAGTGAATAATAGGAGTCTACGATGTCCAATTTTTTTAAAAGCATGGTTTATAAAAACAACCAATCAGTTTTGAACATATTTAACTCATTGACTTATACAAATTATCTTATTTATAAATTTAGCTTGATTCGGCTTGTTTTAAGAATAATAACAAAACAAAGTGGCATTATAATAAAGTAAATTTCATCAGTATGATGGTCAATGATTTGGAACTGGTGATTTTAGACCATTTTTATTATGTATCCTTAATGTTCAAATTTACTATAAGGAGTTCCACTCTCTGAATGTGTATCAATATACAATAAAAAAATTATTTTGGTCCTTGTTTTGATTTCATTTTGTCACATGTAAATTCTTAAGTACACTCGTTAACAACATAATTTATAATTTTAACAGTCTTATATCTGTTTCTGTGCCCTAGTCCTATAAACATGTAATATTTTTAGAAAAATAGGTAAAATATGCTCTATTGAACCAATAAGTTCAATGGATTTACAGTATCAATTAAAGATTAAAGCCTGTCCCATACTGTGGGCGATAAGATATTATGAGGAGAGTTATACCAAACCAGACTCTTCCTTATATTAATCTATAGAAAAATATAAAACAGTTTTGAATATGTCTTATTTTTCTGACTTGAACCATTACAATATAAAAAAATCTATAAAAATTTAAAAATATACTCCCACATTTTATTTAAAAATAGAAGGTGCCTGGATCGGAATAATCTCCTCATAGGATTTATTAATAAATGTGCAAAAGGCCTTTTTCAAAATTTGTTTTACAATTTATACCATGACTCTCTCAGTGCTTGACACAGGCTTTAGTTACAAAAATAAAAGGTACACTATGTTTAATATCATTAGATATATGGAAATGTACAAAGCAGGTCTCTAATAAATAAATTTGCAAAAGCTCTAAATTCTAGGTTACACAGGACATCACCGTCTTTCTGACCGCATCTCTGGCATATGGTATATAGGATAGTGAATACCAAGTCATTGAAAGTGATTGGATAATGATAAACAATAAAGCTAATCCCGCTTTGTGCCACTAAAAACAATTCCAACAATAAACACTTTACCGTAGTTTGTACAGACTACTTACCATCAACGCCGATAACAAAGTCATTATTATGGCTCCCAAGACGAGACAAGTAGCGATGGCTCTAGTGGCGGCAAACATTTTCTGCAGCTGATTCACTGGTCCCATTAGGAAACAGGTACTCAATAACGAAACAATGTTACCTAGTGTGTAGAACACCGCAAATATGCCCATGCCATTAAAAAACAAGGCAAATGAACCTAATAACGTTAGAAGAACCCCAATTATGAAACAGGCGATAAAACCTTTAACTCGAGTTGACCAGCTTAACGTAGAGGCATCATTTAGCTGAAAAGTGCCTGTCGATAGCATTTGGAGTTGAAAATCAGTTTTAAATCACTCAATACCTGAGACATTATGCCGCTTTCTTCGTCGGGTGTATCATCTCCACTTAGGACCTTTTTCAATTTATCCATAATTCAGCGCTGTTTGGTATCTAACGAAAATATTAAAATATATCAAACTAAAAGTAAAGTAATAACAAAATAGCTAGATGACTTCAATAAAAAAAAATTAAATTTGTATATAAACTTCAGCAGATTATTGGAAGACCCTAGACCATTATCACAGAATACTAAAGTTAGTTTCGCCAATTATTAGTCTGGAAGAAAAAACTAATTAAACTTCAGTCAATAAGCAGAGACAACTAATTGGTTATCAAAGAAAACAGAATTTCTTGCACCATTTTCTGTTATACTCTTATATTTCTTCAAACAGTAGAAAAAAAGGAATCAATTTCCCTTAATTTTTAATAAAAACAAGTGCCACTATCTACTCTACAAAACCCATAAAAGTCAATATAGAAGTTTGTTTTGAACTAAATATGGCACAAATGACTGTTGATCTATCAGTGATTTCATCTAACTAATTATGATCTGTAAAATGCACATGTAGAACGTGCTAATCAATAGCGCCTTAAAAATTCCCTTAAGGATACGTTTATTACGTTACATGGAGCCTCACTGAAACAATGTGTAAGAGGATTGAGGCTTTCGAAATGTGGGTTTACCGGAGAATATTGAAGATATCATCGGTTCTGCAACCTAGGAACAAAGAAAGAAAGGTACTTAATACCACTAAACTTAGAAAGCTGGAGTATTAATTAATAATTAGTAAAACATATTAAATGCTCTACATGATCGGAAAAATAGAGGGAAAAAGTGGTCTTGGACGCCGAAAACGTCTTGGCTCAAACATCTTCGTCAGTGGTATGAAGTAAGCACCGCCACATTGTTTAGATCTGCCGAGGACAAAATGAAGATCATGCGACTGATCGCCAATGTTCTGGGAGGACATGGCACAACTAGTCAAATAATTGCAGGTGAATAAAGCAAGTGGAGCACGGTCTGCTTCATTGGCCACTACGCAATGAGGAACACAACCATTTTTTATCCATGAACTGACAGAACAAAACTGCTTCTACAATGGATATTGTTTATTCTGCGTCCTGACCACAAAAAAGAAGTAATTTATTGCGATACACCGTCATATACGAATTAAGAAATTTTCATCTGACGTTCCAATCAACGTCAGAAAAGATTTTTTTCTCTGCCAAAAATTGAATCGTTTACTTTGAGAAAGGCACATCTGAATAAATAATTATTTTATTTGTAACGTCCCTAGACATGCACCGTTTAAACATCGATAACAAATTTTTGTAATTTTAAATATGCCCATCACTTACATCTTCTAAGATTTGCGTGCCACGAATATGCTACGATAAAAGGCTAAACTTTAGCAAACTTCAACTGAAAAAACCATAATGTACGAATCCCGTGTAAATTCGATGCAAAGCCGTCTTCAAATCCCGTTTGTTTTCGTCGCGCGACACTCCCTCTACCGTCGGAAAGATCAACGATGATAAGAACCGTCAAAAACGTCGCACCACAAGAAAACAACAAGAGAAAGTCTCTAATCAGCAAGTCTTCGCAAACATGGCAGTGCCTTAAATTAATATTCGGTGGAATGGCGAATAAGACCGCGAGTGCACGATGATAAAAAAAATAAGCAGGCTGTGATTAAACCGCGACCCGAGAGTTTCGTGAATGTGTCGTCGCGTGTATTCTTTTGTTTTGTTTTAAATATGTCTAATGTACCGCCAAAGTTTTATCGGTTGTGTCGTCTGTGTTTATCTGAAGATAAGAGTGAGTCGTTATCAATATTTGATAAGGAAGGGACCGTGAGGGACATCCCCAGAAAGATCTTAACGTGTCTGTCAATTTTGGTAGGTGATTCATATTGTTTCTTAAGATAGATCATAACCTAACCGTAGTCGGTGTAAGACCGTTTCCTTTTTGTTCCGTTTGAAGCATACGCGATGTCGTCATCGGTGGCTCTGCTATTTTTAACCATTTCATAGAGATTCCGTAAAACATGTATAAATAAAGGTTTTTAACATCTGCTTGGCGTGGGACGGTTGATTACAGCGGTCCAGGTTAATTTTTATTAGAACGCGCGACGACCGAGTTGTGCAGCTCTGAATAGAAAGTTTGGCAAGATACAACACGGCCGATAAGATGTTTCCGAATTGATAAGACCCGTTCTTTGTTGTTCCGCTGTTGCGGTGCGCCGCTCACTTCTAGTATTCACCGACATGCCTAACGTCGGACCTAAAATCTTCTGTTATCAGGTCGAGACTCGGATTCTTTGGAACGTTACATAACTTGCAATGGTATTGGCGAGCATTGCGATCGTATTTTCTTGTTTGCCCTTCGCAGCTGACGCGGCTTTAATATTCCGCTGTAAAGGTTAATTTTGATGTCGGCAACTGATTGACTATTTGTGACGTTGCCAGGGGCGTAGCAACGGAGGGTGAAAGTGGTACGGAACTTTGACACTTTTTGCGAAACTAAATGTATTTTAATCTTTCTGGTAACTGTTATGAAAAACATGCAAAACTTTAAAATTTTACATTTAACGTTTAATTTTTTGAAAATAAGTCTTTTTTCAAGCACTAGAATATTAGGCTTTCAATTTCCGAGGCCAAAATGACAATAAAATTCAGGATGGCTGAAGCAATTTTTTCTTTTATTTTTTAGCTAAAACTGTCTGTTTTTTGTAAAAATGCCTTTAGACAGGTACGTATTTTTCTTTGTAAAAAAAAAGAAAATGCTTAGTTTGGAAAAAATCGGTTAATTAAGCAGGTACATTTAATATTTGATCTGAGAACTGTATTGGTCGCAGAGAATAGTTTCGACAAAAGTCTGCAAACTAACGCAGGATATTGATTTTTCATTGCTAAGTCTTTTCTTTATAAGGATGAAGAGGAAATATTTTGATACATTTTTAAGGGTAGCAAAAAATTGAATATTTTTATTAACAATAATAATTATTTAAAATCACTATCGAAGCCACACGAATAACAAAAATCAGCAACAAACTATTAGATCCGATTTTTATTTTTTGTAACGATTCGGTGGCTTCTAGAATCATATATTTGATCCTCGATTTGATCATAGTCTTACATTTTATGACCTCTTAATAATTAAGCCAAAAACTCTCGAAATTTATTTGGCACATCTTCCTTGTTATCTATTTATTGATTAGAGAACATAATATTGACCATCTTATCAATTTACGATCGTGAGGCCCCAATAAAAGAAATAAGAGTTCGCAAAGTTACGAAAGTTTAATAGAATTAAAAACGTAGCTTATTTGAGCAGATATAAAGACTTCCGTAATTTTGGCCTTACATCTCTTCACAAAGCAAAAAGGCACATATTGATTCATTAATGGCTAACAACGAATCTTAAAAAGCTGTGACATACATTGAGTGATTTTGATATAAGAAGCTAGTAAATGTGCACAAATTCCTATACACTTGTCTGATCCTTAAGAGATGAGACGTGCTTTTCAGGTTTCCTACAAACTATACCTAACAACTATTAAAATCAAATAGATTTTTTGAATCAAACATCTTTGACGACTGGAACTTTTTTAGTTTTAGTGTGTCCAACCCAACAAAAAAATTGGAATTGCTGTCGTAGGCTTGCTTGCAATCTTCTTAAATATGATCAGGTGTCGGAGAAAATAAAAGAAGAAGAAAAAAACTTTTTGTAGACTATTATTGTTATTATTATTACTATTATTATGAATATTATTATTATTTTAATAATAGATAAAAACGAAGAACAGTATTTAATAAAAAGAGCAACAAGATTAACATAACCAGGGTTGGATTGATTTTAATAAGTGATTTAAATCACTAAAATCGTGATTTAAATGAAACTCCTATTTATTACAATCTATTTTTATTGAGATTAGAATGAAAAGCACAACGTAAAAATATTATCACAAATAAAAAGTAAAACACAACTCTTAAAAAAAAAGAAAAATAACGTAATAATATACACTTTGTGCTTCGGCATTTTCGTTATATGGTTTGAAGAAAAATAGTAATTTTCCAACTTTTTCTATCCCCGTCATGTCCCTTATATCTGAGTGTACAAAACCAAAAGTGCTGAAAATTCGTTCTACTGACATTGAGGAAACAGTTGCACTTAAGAAATGTTTTATTATGAGTTTCGCAATTTCTGGCTCATCCTTTTGTGATGTCCACCGCTGTATTCCATTTACGTTTGTTAATGTATCATCCAAAAATATATATTTTTTAAAAACGCAACTGCGGGAGTCAACTTTATTACTAGGTAATGGCAAAAGTCCAAATTTTTTGTTGTTGTATTTTTGATAAAGGTAATTCTACAATATTCTCGAAGATATATTGTAAATGTTTCTAATGCTCTACATCATCTAAGGTATGTAGTAGCGTTTTTTCTCTGCAAAATATTAAGAGCAACTGATATTGGTTTTAAAATGCTTAAATTTTCTTGTGCTGCATATTTAAGCCCAATATTTCAAACCTTTTGGTAAATGTTCGAAATTTCGTTTTTGTTTTCTTCACAGATTTTTTATAATATATACCACTGAATGACGTACACTTTTAAACAATCAGCAACGCTATTCCATCGCGCATCACTTGGAAGGACTGAAACGTTGCCTCCTGCTTGACTAAATTTCGCTCTACCTACATTGTTATCGCGAAAATACTTAAGAATTTGGACTACATTTTCTTTGACGCCTGTTATTTGTATGTCTTTGTACAGTAAATTCAAAATATGTGCAGAGCAACCATAAGTTATAATTTTTGAGTCCGTCTTTTCCTCCAAAGTTTTTCTCATGCCATATTGTGATTTACAAGAAGAAATTAGGTCACAAATTACTCCAGTCAAATATTGTCAATTACGAGGTTTTCCCTAAATATCAACAGTTTCGTAAAGAAGCGCTCATTCATCTTCAGTTGTTATTGTTGCACATTGTGGAGGTTTGACCACCCTTCAATGGACGTATTCAAACATTGCCCTGACAGAGAAGAAAAACAGGCTTGTTGATACCGTTATGATTACGAGATGGAAAGTTAAATAAAAATGAAATGAGTAATAATAAAACAAAATATTATTTTTCTACTCCCGTCTGTAAAATGCCTAATTACACACCGATCTAAAGTGCGGGAACGTCACTTTAGTCACTTTATGTCAGTGTCGTTTCCCACGGATCCGAGCCACTTCGGACATTTCCGGGATTTTACCGCACGGGTTTGGGATATTTTCGGAGATATTTCCCACGCCTTCAATTTTGATGTTTGTCAATTCTGACGGTCATGTCAGTGAAAATGTACCTAAAAAGTGTAGTATGCAACACAACACGTTCGGTAAATTTTTTGAGTTACGCGTTTATTAAATACTCGCTCCGCTCGTGTCAAATAAACTCGTGAGTCAAATGCCGTTTAAAGTACTTGTTGCACAATATACTATTACCTACCTGTATTCCTTTCTTGCTGCCTATTATCACATACATCATGGGGTGCTTTAAGTTTTTGAACTATCACTTGATTTTTTTTTAAATTTTAATATAAAACTAGCATATGCCTTCCAGCCATTTAAATGTTTTCACCTAATGCTCTATTTTTCACTAGTTCCACTCCTTTAATAAACCAGTTTTTTTCTAGCTCAACGTAAAGTTTCTCAAAGTAAAATAGACATTTTTATTACTTATCGAAAACAACGGCTTTGATAACTAAAGTTCCGAAGGACATTTAATATTTTAAGGTGTTTTTGGGTGTATCTACTTCATAAGACGCGTCTTTAAACTCCTCTGAGTGTTGTCTTGAACATAAGAGAGTGGCATCGACACATGCAAAGTTCCGAACGTTAAATCCCTTAATTAATTAACGCTAAAAACAGAAAATTCAAATAGTTCTTATGTCAGCCATATCCTTATTAAATTCGCACATAAGCGTATCCGCATCATTGTTGCGGATGGATAAAATTGATATCGAAAGAATTGTACCACACTTACCACCTTAAAGTTTCTACTTTTCTCGATTTTGGTGTTCGTACCGTATTTGGGTACTTCCGAAATTCACTATTCAGTATTCGTGCGTTCTTCTCTTGTTATCTGTCCATTTACTTTAGGCTCACCAACTGTCTTGACTGATACCTAAACATTGCTTTTAAAAAATCGTCGGAGAGTCCTTGATGCATTTTACAGAGGAAATTTAAAAGATTCTGTTTTGAAATAGTTCGTTGACATCCATAAACATCCGCATCATGACAATGATCATAAAGATCCCTTAACTGAGCTTTGTTTAATGAAGACAAGGTTAAAAATTCATCGTCACTAAAGTTTTCTTAAATTGTCCAAAAAATATGTTAGTTCAGAAAGAAGAACGAAGTGGTTGAAACAAAATACCTCTAGAATCAAGGTGTTCTCTGTATACTTTGTTGTGCGAAGGAAGATATACCGGCTGATATAAATTAAGTGTTGTTCATTGGTAACTTTGTTATGAATAAAGATACAAAGTCGATTAAATTAGAAAACTAGTAGAATTTTCTCACTGATTACGATGGTAAAAACAGAAAAAACGGTTGAGTCTAGAGTTAAAAAAAAAGAAAAAGAAAATGGAACACCCTGTATATATTTTTACTCTAACGTTCGTAAAACACCAACCTGGTTCTTGGATTTTTGAAGCATATCGTGACAATTCTATTCAAGACATGGTCAGATTCTAACCTGTGCTTTAATACTTTCCAAAGGATAAAAGAAATACAGAAGTTTTTCCCTTACAAATTCCGACTAGCTCAGGTGCTTTTGACAGGGGATACAGAGATGTCATTTCAATTTTGCCGCCAAAACATAAATAATATTCAAAAATCAAAATTTTCGAATTCTATAATTTATATTCCAAGAAATAATCATTATTGGTCAGGAGAAAATTTATTGCTAGTACCCTACAGTTTTAACGTTTGGTGTGATATAATTGGTTCTCGCATTGTTGGTTCATATTTTTACGATGGTTTTACATTGCAATTCTTACTGAAATTCTGGATGGTTTTCTATATGAGCTTTTCCTCAAAAGTAGGCAGAATTTCCATTTCCAACAAGATGGTTGACCAGCTCATAACTAGATTACTACCAAATGGACTTAGTTCTTGGCCTCCTAGGTCACCTGATATAACCCCATTTGATTTGTACTTGTGACGTTATATAAAGGATGAAATTTATAAGGAAAGATACTAACACGTTGACGTTTTAAAGGCTGCAATAGAAAAACGTGCTCAGAAGTGTATTGAAGTACGAGGTGCTGTTTTTGAACACCCCTTAAAATAATTTTAATAGTTAGTTTTGGTTGGTTTTAATTAATTAAGTTTTTTAGTTTTTTTTTTCTATTTTGTTATTTACATGTTTGTTACGGTCAAATAAAACAATAAAAGGAAAATAGAGCTTTATTTCTCATATCCATCTAGTCCAAGAAATTTGTGGGTAATTTGGTTAGTTTCAATTTTAGACTAATATTGCATATTACCTGTTGGTGATTTATGAACGTTAGAGTAGAAAATATACAGAATGTTCCACTTTCCGCATTTTTTCTTAAACCCTACATTCAATTGTTTTTCTGCTTTCACCATCGCAATCAACTTTATTTGACTGACTTTGTATATCTGCTCATAACTAAGTTATCAATGACGAACACTTAATTTAGATCAACCTGTATACTAATATTTAAGAAAAATATTTGTTCTTAAATCCAATGTAACCTTTTCAATATTGTCTGGATTATAGCACACAATAATATGCAACACTATTTTTGTGTAATACCTTTTGTTTTGTTCGTACGCTTGTATTTCATGGAAGACACACCTATCACAATTTATGCACAGTCTTGAATTATACTTAATCTTTACGTTAGGAAGGTCATGTTCATGAGGTTTCATGTTATCTCCAATAATGCGTCTTAACTGGCGTAATCGACATATTTGAAATACATTTAAAATCCAGAAAACACTAAAGTACCAATATCAGTTTGGAAAATACAAATGTTAATGTTGGAAATATTAATATTAGTTTACAAAATAGTCTGACATATCAATAAAAAATATGTCTTCACTAGTATCACAACCAATCGAAAAGTACCTATCTGTTCGACGACAAAATATAAATAACTAACAATGTTATATCATTATATCATTGACTTTATGCAAGTCCCAAACAGTGCCGCATAAGGATTGTTTTATCTGTTAGAACATGTAGATATGTACAAAAAACCATTGTTTAGTGGATATTACGTCGTATAATAAATTGGAAAAATAATTTGATATCTATCCCGTCCATGAATGGTAGATAAGTAATAAAACAAAAATTTTATCAGATGACTGTCGGTACCCTTGTACGGGTTGTCCCATTATAAATTTCTAAATGTATAACTTTGTTACGATTCTACAATCAAAATTATAAAACCTATCAAGTTTTGACAGGTCGACATTTAAAAAAAAAATAACCTGTATTTGAATGTGTCAATAGATTTCATTTTTTCTCCTTATTTCAAGCACGTATTAGTTCTTGGGGTTATTTTTATATTGGATGTAGGCAAGTCAATAACTATTGTTTCAAAAATCAAATTAGCCATGAAAACTAAATTATTTTTTTTTAATATAGAAAAAGAGTTTATTTGTTGTATGATTTTTCTATTGTGTAATATTAGTACTTACATTTTCAGTTATAGTGTATTATGCAACAAGTGCGGTAAACGGCATTTGACTCACGAGTTTATCTGGCACGAGCGGAGCAAGTGTTTAAACTGAACTAAATCATTTTTTGGGCAGTTTAAAACAGCACATGATAATTATTTTTATGAGCATGAAGAAAATTTTAGTGACAATGAATTTGGCTGTTGTAATGTAATGAACTAATAAACACGAGCCGTGTCACGTGCCAGGGTCTTTATTTGGCAATAAAATGCAATAAATTTTCTATTATTTTGTACAAAATAAACAAAAAATTAGTTATTTGTAGTATATTATTCAATTGGTCCGAATTCATTATGCTCAAGAAATTTATTTGCTTTCAGATAAAAGAAGACGACAGACTTCCGAAAATAATATGCCTAAAATGCAGTGAGCAGTTGGAGACGTTTTCGAAGTTCAAGGAAGTCGCCACCAAAGCGGAAGAAATCCTCAACAATTTTATATTATACACCCAACAACTTACCGGAACGGAAGAGGTTAGTTCTGTTTTATTTGATTTATCCCTTATTTTTCTCAAAACCCTGCAGAATATTGTAAGCATTATTGATATTGTCGTTACCGGATAATTACAGTAGTTTCCACTACAAAACAGGGTCGCATTTTTGAAAAACTGCTGCCAAAACTCGAAGTTAAGGTTAAACGGTGAATAGGGTAATTTACATTTAGGGTTCTGGTATTATATCTATTAAATATCTGTAGTTCGAAGTCCTTTCGATTTTTAAAAAAGAATGTCAATGCTTCATAAATATATAAAGCATATACAGTAAAAATACCTTCAGCCTTGAACACCCCTCTACAGCTCTCTCTAAATTGCATTTTTTTAACAGTGCGAAGAGTCCTCTTTTGAACCACGAAAATTTTTTGTAGTTGACCACTACCTCCCCAAAAGATAATTCCATACCTCATGCGCGACTGAAACTTTGCAAAGTACATAATTTTTAAAGTTTCCTTATTCATATAATTTGCAACGACTCTAATTCCATAACAAATTGAATTTAATTTATTTAGCAGATAATCAATATGTTCAGACCAATCAAGAAATTCGTCAATTTGTAAACCTAAGAATTTAGTGCTATTTACAATACTAATATTTTCTTTACCTATCCCTATTCCTAATGGTATTTCAACTCTACATAATTTAGTTCTAAATGTAACAGTCATAAGCACTTGTAAAAATATCGTTGCCTTTATCACTAACCTCAGTGAGATTATTTCCACCTACAAGGAGGTTGGTATCATTCGCATAGCGTATTATGCTCTCTTCTTCTGACTGTGTTACGAAATACAAGTCATTCACAAAAATGGTAAATAAAATTGGACCAAGAATACTACCTTGTGCTATGCCCATACTATTTTCCTTAATATCCGAGAAATAACTAGTGCCATTTTGGGTTATTCTTGCTTGTTGTTTCCTTCCTATTCAGTATGATTCAAACAATTTTAGAACATTACCTCTTACACCGTATATATCCAATTTTTTCATCAATAACTCCGTGTCTATACAGTCGTATGCTCTAGAAAGATCTAAGCACGTACCTAAAGCTATTCTCTCCCTCCAAGTGTTTTAAAATTGTTTTTATAAATTGAAATATAGCGGTTTCTGTTGATTTATTAGCTACATAACCATGCTGATGATTGTTGAACATTTTATATTTATGAAAAAACTTAAGAGTCTTTTGCAAATAGCCATCTCAAATATTTTAGAAAACCCGGGCAAAAGGCTAATTGGTCTATAATTGGTAATTATTTCTGGATCTCCCTCCCGCTGTTTTATTAAAGCTGTCATAAGTTGGTCTGGGAAAACGCCATTTTCAAAGGATTCATTAATCAAAAGATACAACACTTTACTAACATACGGGACAGAAATTTTTATTATGCTGTTTGGAATATCGTCTATTCCACTACTATGTTTATTTTTAATTTATTGGAAAATGACCTTTTTTCTAGGTTTTCCAATAATTCAGGTACAACGTTCAACATATATTCATTAAAATCATTTGATATTTGATTAGGATCCCCACTCATACCAATGTCAGCCCCTAAACTGTTTCTACTCAAAATCTCATTGCATATTGACCACATGCATTTGGTTTTATTAGCAGAAAGCTTTAGCTTAATGTCATATGCCTGAGATCGTTCAGTTTTCAAAAGATTATCATATTTTCGCTTAACAAATCTATATTCCTGTTTCTATCGAGCACTTTGTCTAGCCAAAACTAACAAGATATCTAGTTTTCGTTTACATTCTCTAATCTCATCATTATCTTTATATGATTTTACACCACTAGTGTTTTTTATTGTTTTTTTAGGAAAGCATTGATCAAACAGTGTAGAGAAAAGATTCATAAAAGAGTTCCACTGTTGATTGACATCCTCCGT